GATCAAACAAAAGATTTGAGTACAATTTATTTAATAAACTAAAGCAATGAAACCGACTTAAGGTAAATTAGTGTAAAAATTTCAATACTCACTAATATTGCTGATCAAAAACTTTTTGCCATAGCTTAGTACTGTCAAAAAATAATTTCTGTTAAAAGTAGAGGAAATAGTAAAGATTGTGTGATGCGGGCATATTTTCTCACTTAGTCATCTTTATATTTTTATTCACTCCTTTCTGACACTAGGAAATGAACTCGTAATCTTTCATTGGAAATTGAATATCTGTAACTTCGTTAATAGTTGTCCAAAATGAACGTTTTTTATATGGCTTTGTAGGGAATTTCATTACCTTTCAAACGATAGGCTTAACAGCATTTTTTCTCAGGGGGCTGTGAAACGTATTGATCGGTCGAAAACCGCATGTCGGAAATTTGACCCGATTGTAATACTTTCCTTACCTAGTATAGGTAGGAAAGTAATAACTTGAAAAAATGAGTAAAAAATAGAATAAGCTGTATCATCGCTAATACTGGTGCGGTTCCGATGATTTTTTTTTTGTTTTGTTGGTAATTTAAATACCTTTCAAAAGTTTTATTATAAATTTTATCGTATAATGTATACTTAGGGAGTTAGGCCCCATAACATTTTTCTTTTCTTTATAAATTTTTTTTCTGAATTTTTTCGGAAATTTAGTCTATATTCAAAAATTGAAAGGACAATTATTAGAAAATTATAGGAAAGTTTCATCAAAATCGTTAGAGCCGTTTTCGCACTATAGTCGATAGAAAAACATGGTTTTCATTTATTGCGCACAAGCTATTGCGCATGGAGGACCGAATTTCTGTAACAGGCATCACTAGTCAAAACCCTACAAAACAAAATCGATTCAGTAGTTCCTGAGAAAATCTTGGCCAGGACAGACAGATCTATGGCTAAAAATGTGTTTTTCAGACTCAGGGAGCTCTGAAACGTATAGATCTGTCGAAATTTGACCCGATTGCAATACTTTCCTTACCTAGTATAGGTAGGAAAGTAATAAGACTTGTTTTATTTAGTAGGTTTAGGCCACAGGTCATCAATAACATACATTTTCATTTTATTTCTTTATTTGTCAACGTTTCGGCCTCTTGGGCCATTTTTTCAAGATTCTGTCAGAAAAATTTAATTTAGTTATTTTTCTTTAAAATATTTCATTTTTAAAACAGTCTGTTACATATATAGTACTTATTCTATTTAATAACATTTTATTATATAAATTTAATAATTTTTTATTATTTTGGGTTAAAATTAATGTAAATTACCTACTGTATCGTGCACTATTCTATAATTTTTTCTCTCCATCATTATATAATTTGTCTGGAGATCTAGCCATTATTTCATAGAATGTCATTTTGATTTCTAAAAGTTATATATAGATAATTAGGTATAATATTAATTTCTTTCTTTCTAAGAAAAGAAAACAAAAAAGATTATAATAGTGGATTGATGGTTGACTAGTGAAAATTGAAGAGAAGTTGGTTGGGGTATTCAGTTAAAAATAAAAATAAAAAAATTATATTTTTATTTTATATTAAAAAAGAATATAATTTGATCTTGAAATATGTACCTTCTTTATAGAAGACATTGAGTCTGCTATTCCTCTACAATTTTTACAGAATCTTGAAAATGGCTCGAGAAATAAAAAAAAAAAAAAAAAGGATGTTGTTGGTGACCTGTGGTTTAATACCTATTAAAAAAACTCGTGCCGAACCCTAAAAATACGAAAATAAAAATAAAATATTACTCACCTTGTCAAGTCTTAAGGTCAAAAAAAAAAAAATTATTTTCACAGCTAGTGCAGAATTGAAGGTGGCAGGTAGATATAGAAATACATATTCTTTATTATATTAATACATATTTATTTTCATTTTCATGGTTTCTATGTTGTATCTAAAAAATAAAAATTGTACACAATTCGTTATAATTGTTTGATTATTATGCTTTTTTGCATTACAGATTCAAAGAAGATATGAAGGTGCTTGCTGGATTCTTGAACCACAAGTAAATCTTCAGGAAACAGGAACAGCTTCAAGAAGAAATGAGGTGGAATTTATTTATTTATTTTCTGCATGTACTATGGTCCTTTACTTAAACAGTAGTAAGTTAGCTAAAGAAATTTCAAAGATTTTCAGATGTGTGTAATATTGATAAATAGTGCGGAATCCATAATATTTCAACAAATAAAATTTAAAAATATATGTTGTAAGGTTACACTCCCTTTGAAAAGTAAAAAAAAAAACAGCTTCTTAATCAAATAATATTTATTTTACACAATCATTAATTCCCAGGTTGGGTTGAGACAACTAATACACATTCCTCAAATATATAATACGAAGGTATACATTAATTATACAACATATTTATGAATTTCCAATGTTTGTCGGGGTCTATTCTTAGCACGCTTTCGAACTGTCTATTTATATTTCACTCATCCTGTTCTGCAGTGAGTCTTGTATCCAACTTCTACAACTTTCTCTTGTTCTATTATTTTCTTGTCTTCGTCTAGTTGTAGACACTCACTATTTTTTAACTCATTTTCTTCCTGTCGATCCTCATTCCTAGCCGGCTAGCTACCTTCTGACGTAACTTATGGAACTCTTCCCCCACCATCTGTCATTCTTTGTTCATTTTTTTTAGTAGTTTGTGATGTCACTACCTTTGTGCCACTATTCAAAATCACTATGTAATAATTACATTTGTAATATGTTTGAGTCAGTACATTGTCTCTGTCAATTTTGGAATAGGCATGTAGTGAGCGCATGATATTATTTTTTTATTACTTCTTTCATAGCTACTTTCCCTCTTAATTAGGTTTCTAATTTTTGGTACTAGTTCACTAGAGTTCCACAAGGATTATGCGTGGTTCACAATCACTTCGGTCACACTTGTTTATAGAATCCCTTATGCATCCGGGTTTGTCTGAAAGAGTTCAAAGACAACGATGATCTCTTGAGTTAGTTACTAATAACTTTCCCGCCATTAAAGTACTTGAATATCCTTAATCAGGTACTGTCACACAGCGTGAGCCGACTTATATTCTATATTCATGTTTGATCACTTAACTTTATTTGGACTTATACACATATAACACAATCTACCTATTTCTATTAAGCTCTCTCATCAGCTGCTGGTTCCAAAGCCAAATGAATTCTACTTCATAAACTAGTTTTAATTTGTTTATATATATTTCCACATCTTAAGTAACAGAATCAGTTATTTACTCTAGTTTCTATTCAGTTATTTTTTTTATTACTACAGTGATTTGCTCATAAAATTAATTTAATCTAATTATTTTTATTTCATTGTTATTAGCAGCTATATTGCAGCATTTTAACCCTATTGCTCATATGCTTTCTTTATTTTATCCCAATAGCTATGTTTATACTTATCTTATCACTTATGTTTTAATTATTCTTTACTGTAATCGGTCTTTTGACCTGATTTAATGTTAATTTATATGACCAATATTGTTATTCTTAAGGGACTTCGTCCCGGAATGAAATTGATTTTCTATTTATTTTTCTATATTATGTAGCTGTGGAAAAACAAACAAAAAAACAGTAGTAGATATAAACCTTTAATTATTATATCACTAATGGCTATTTCATGCATTATATGTACAGAGTAGCCACTGACCTGGAAAACCTGGAAAAATGGGAAAAGTAAGGGAATTTTCAAAACAGAGAGAAGTCAGGGAAAAATTGTTAATATCAGGCGAATTTTCACGTACATAAATATTTGTTTCAAATTGGAAATAAATATACAATAGATGTTGTTTATAATGCTCTGAAAGGGATAAACGATCCCAGTTGCTATATTCATCCACCTTTGACTATTAATAATGGCACTAGTCGTTATATTGAAATCAAACAAGATTAATGAATACAATTTAAGCAAAATGGACTTTTTGTGAAAATAAAAATATATCAATATTATTTAGTATTTGTAATATATACATCTATGGGCATATTTATTTATTTTTTAATCGCTAACTGATCGAGCATTAACTTTTTCAAAATTACCTTTCACACTTTGAATATGTCAGCATCATTATAATTCTCATGAACTGTCAGCTAAATCTTTGAATTCAATTTGTTGGTTAACTAAAAGAGAATGCTGGCAGTTTCACAGCTATTTTTTTTAAAAAACAATATTGTGTCTAGAGAAGAATCTTTTTATCTATCCGAACAAAATGTTAGTTTGAGATTCATAAAATGGATCGCGAATGGATTATAAATATTTGTTAATCTTTTCAAGTGAAATCTGCCTTGAATCTGATAGCAGAATATTCAGAACAACCGATTAAATAGTGAAATGTCAGGGAATTTTACTTTATCGATCTGGTAGCCACCCTGTATGTATATATATATATATATATTTCTTATTCATGAATTCCATTATTCACTGTAATGGAATATTTAAATATTCTTCATCAGCTGTTATCTCCACCATATTCCATTACTTTCTTGGAAATAAACAACCAAACACAATTTTTGATTTTTATTTATTTATTTATTTTTTTATTATTGACATCAATTGGTTTACATTTTCAGAATATTAAGCAAAATAACTATGAATAATAACCTAACTAATTAATTTAATAAAAATTAATGTAACACAATAAAGTATAAAACATAATATAATACAATATATAAACAAATACAATAATACAATCATAATGTATCATACAGTATACAACATAAGTGTCTCTATTGATAGTCATACTGAAGAATCATGCAACAATTAGCTTAGCCTCGTAAAAAATCTGTAACAAAACAAATGAAATGATAAAATAGTGAAATTATGTTTAAAAAAATTAAAGGAACTATTTATTATGTCTGAGTACCACTTATTAGAGTCCTCCTAAATACTTTATTATTTATTTCAATTTAATCAGCTTTCAACGCTCAAGATCTCAGGTTCGTATCTCGGCTCGTGGTAGAAAAATTATTTATTCTGTTTCATTGGCCGTGGAGCGACCATGGAGTAGGGAAGCTCTCCTGGGGCATACAAAGTGGGTGGGTACCTTCAATTAAATAATTGATTAAGGTGGAAAATCTGGAGGTTGAGCATGATCCTGGCATAATCCCCCCCCCTGCACAACCGTTGGCCTTGAGACAGTACTTTCCCTGAATAGTACTCAACCCAAGACTCTTCATGGGTTGCAGTGGTACAAGTTTTTTTAATTTAAATTATTATTACTCAATTATTTACTGTTTGTTATAAGGGGTATGTCTATATTTGTATTTAACTGAAGCCTAATCATTTGAATTGGTTAAAAATTCTATAGCCCTGGTATTGAATTTTTATACCTTTTCGTTCTGTTAATTATCATTCTTTCTTTCCGGATTTCCTTGAATTCTTTGGGTATCTGAAACGATGATTTGGGTTGTCTGGATTATAATAATGTTGAGATTCGGAATTATATCTATTATAATTTTGATTTTGATTCAATGAACTGTCGAATTTCCCCTTTTTAACTTAAATTTTTGTATAGAAAATGTTTAACCTATTGACCAAAGTTGTGTGTTTTGAATTTTCTGTTGTATTGATACTACCTGACCACTGTTATGTTAATATGGAATACTGTTTAAACAAAATAACTTAAACACTTTGTCTCCAAAAGTATTTGTATTTGGAAGAAATGATATGGTATGGTTTCAGCTTAATACTGTACTATTGCATTATCTAAAATACTTATAGTAGGAGTAAATTATCTTTTTCTAAGTAGCTAAAATACATTTTATTATATGTACAAACGGTAAAACTCTTATTTACATACTCTGTGTATAACTTTAATAAAATATAATGTTGATATACATACCTCCGATATCCAAGTGCCTTAAGGATATTCCCCCCATGTATGAATAGTCATAAAGTGCTAATGAGAGTAAATTCATCACGGTTTTCATTGCCATTGACCCTACGACTTAAAATCATAGAGTAAACCTAAAAAAACAAAAAACAATTCTTTATTTATCTTACATAAATACTTTTGTTATCTTGTGAGTATATATTATCATCTATATATATATATATGAAATTTATTATTAAATCTAATATATATTAGTAAACCTTGAACACTTTGTCTCCAAAACTATTTGTATTTGGAAGCATTAATAGGCTATGGTTCAAGCTTAATACTATACTATTACACTATCTTAAATACTTATAGTTGGAGTAAATTATCTTTTTGTAAGTAGCTAAAATACATTTCTTGTATCTTCATGTTTCATTTTATTTGTGATATCAAAAATGTTTTTAAGTGCGAAAAATTGAAAAGCAAACACAATTATTCATAACAAGAGAAAACAATTCCATTCATGTATAGACGTTTTATCGAAATCAATCCCATAAAATTTATATCGTATATGATATTATATTTTATCTGTGGTTTTAAAAATGTTTTTAAATGTGACTAATAGAAAAGCAAACTCAATATTATTCATAAAAAGATGAAAACAATTCGATTCATCTTTAGTCGTGGTTTATTTTTAGTACCAGAAGCGATTTCATAAGATTTACATCCTGTGTGATAGTATAATTTAACTGTGGTTTAAAAAATGTTCTTAAATGTGACAAATAGAAAAGCACACTCAATATTATTCATAACAAGATGCAAACTATTCGATTCATCTTTAGTCGTGGTTTATTTTTAGTACCGGATTCGATTTCATAAGATTTACATCGTTTATGACAGAACATTTTATCTGTAGCTCAAAAATGTTTTTAAATGTGACAAATAGAAAAGCAAACTCAATATTATTCATAACAAGATGAAAACAATTCGATTCATCTTTAGTCGTAGTTTATTTTTATTACCAGAATCGATTTGATAAGATTTACATCCTGTGTGATAGTATATTTTAACTGTGGTTTAAAAAATGTTTTTAAATGTGACAAATAGAAAAGCAAACTCAATATTATTCATAACAAGATGAAAACAATTCTATTCATGTTTAGTCCTCGTTTATTTTTTGTACCGGAATCGATTTGATAAGATTTACATCCTGTGTGATAGTATATTTTAACTGTGGTTTTAAAAATGTTTTTAAATGTGACAAATAGAAAAGCAAACTCAATATTATTCATAACAAGATGAAAACAATTCGATTCATCTTTAGTCGTGGTTTATTTTTATTACCGGAATCGATTTGATAAGATTTACATCCTGTGTGATAGTATATTTTAACTGTGGTTTAAAAAATGTTTTTAAATGTGGCAAATAGAAAAGCAAACTCAATATTATTCATAACAAGATGAAAACAATTCTATTCATGTTTAGTCCTGGTTTATTTTTTGTACCGGAATCGATTTCATGAGATTTACATCCTGTGTGATAGTATATTTTAACTGTGGTTTTAAATGTGACAAATAGAAAAGCAAACTCAATATTATTCATAACAAGATGAAAACTATTCGATTCATCTTTAGTCGTGGTTTATTTTTAGTACCGGATTCGATTTCATAAGATTTACATTGTGTATGACAGAACATTTTACCTGTAGCTCAAAAATGTTTTTAAATGTTACAAATAGAAAAGCAAACTCAATATTATTCATAACAAGATGAAAACAATTCGATTCATCTTTAGTTGTGGTTTATTTTTATTACCAGAATCGATTTGATAAGATTTACATCCTGTGTGAAATTTGAACTGTGGTTTAAAAAATGTTTTTAAATGTGACAAATAGAAAAGCACACTCAATATTATTCATAACAAGATGAAAGCAATTCTATTCATGTTTAGTCCTGGTTTATTTTTTGTACCGGAATCGATTTCATGAGATTTACATCCTGTGTGATAGTATATTTTAACTGTGGTTTTAAATGTGACAAATAGAAAAGCAAACTCAATATTATTCATAACAAGATGAAAACTATTCGATTCATGTTTAGTCGTGGTTTATTTTTAGTACCGGAATCGATTTCATAAGATTTACATCCTGTGTGATAGTATATTTCAACTGTTGTTTAAAAAATGTTTTTAAATGTGACAAATAGAAAAGCAAACTCAATATTATTCATAACAAGATGAAAACAATTCGATTCATCTTTAGTCGTGGTTTATTTTTATTACCGGAATCGATTTGATAAGATTTACATCCTGTGTGAAATTTGAACTGTGGTTTAAAAAATGTTTTTAAATGTGACAAATAGAAAAGCACACTCAATATTATTCATAACAAGATGAAAACAATTCGATTCATCTTTAGTCGTGGTTTATTTTTATTACCAGAATCGATTTGATAAGATTTACATCCTGTGTGATAGTATATTTTAAATGTGGTTTAAAAAATGTTTTTAAATGTGACAAATAGAAAAGCAAACTCAATATTATTCATAACAAGATGAAAACAATTCGATTCATCTTTAGTCGTGGTTTATTTTTATTACCAGAATCGATTTGATAAGATTTACATCCTGTGTGAAATTTGAACTGTGGTTTAAAAAATGTTTTTAAATGTGACAAATAGAAAAGCACACTCAATATTATTCATAACAAGATGAAAGCAATTCTATTCATGTTTAGTCCTGGTTTATTTTTTGTACCGGAATCGATTTCATGAGATTTACATCCTGTGTGATAGTATATTTTAACTGTGGTTTTAAATGTGACAAATAGAAAAGCAAACTCAATATTATTCATAACAAGATGAAAACTATTCGATTCATGTTTAGTCGTGGTTTATTTTTAGTACCGGAATCGATTTCATAAGATTTACATCCTGTGTGATAGTATATTTCAACTGTTGTTTAAAAAATGTTTTTAAATGTGACTAATAGAAAAGCAAACTCAATATTATTCATAACAAGATGAAAACAATTCGATTCATCTTTAGTCGTGGTTTATTTTTATTACCAGAATCGATTTGATAAGATTTACATCCTGTGGGATAGTATATTTTAACTGTTGTTTAAAAAATGTTTTTAAATGTGACAAATAGAAAAGCAAACTCAATATTATTCATAACAAGATGAAAACAATTCGATTCATCTTTAGTTGTGGTTTATTTTTATTACCAGAATCGATTTGATAAGATTTACATCCTGTGTGATAGTATATTTTAACTGTGGTTTAAAAAATGTTTTTAAATGTGACAAATAGAAAAGCAAACTCAATATTATTCATAAAAAGATGAAAACAATTCGTTTCATCTTTAGTCGTGGTTTATTTTTATTACCGTAATCGATTTGATAAGATTTACATCCTGTGTGATAGTATATTTGAACTGTCGTTTACAAAATGTTTTTAAATGTGACAAATAGAAAAGCAAACTCAATATTATTCATAACAAGATGAAAACAATTCGATTCATCTTTAGTTGTGGTTTATTTTTATTACCAGAATCGATTTGATAAGATTTACATCCTGTGTGATAGTATATTTTAAATGTGGTTTAAAAAATGTTTTTAAATGTGACAAATAGAAAAGCAAACTCAATATTATTCATAACAAGATGAAAACAATTCGATTCATCTTTAGTCGTGGTTTATTTTTATTACCAGAATCGATTTGATAAGATTTACATCCTGTGTGAAATTTGAACTGTGGTTTAAAAAATGTTTTTAAATGTGACAAATAGAAAAGCACACTCAATATTATTCATAACAAGATGAAAGCAATTCTATTCATGTTTAGTCCTGGTTTATTTTTTGTACCGGAATCGATTTCATGAGATTTACATCCTGTGTGATAGTATATTTTAACTGTGGTTTTAAATGTGACAAATAGAAAAGCAAACTCAATATTATTCATAACAAGATGAAAACTATTCGATTCATGTTTAGTCGTGGTTTATTTTTAGTACCGGAATCGATTTCATAAGATTTACATCCTGTGTGATAGTATATTTCAACTGTTGTTTAAAAAATGTTTTTAAATGTGACAAATAGAAAAGCAAACTCAATATTATTCATAACAAGATGAAAACAATTCGATTCATCTTTAGTCGTGGTTTATTTTTATTACCAGAATCGATTTGATAAGATTTACATCCTGTGGGATAGTATATTTTAACTGTTGTTTAAAAAATGTTTTTAAATGTGACAAATAGAAAAGCAAACTCAATATTATTCATAACAAGATGAAAACAATTCGATTCATCTTTAGTTGTGGTTTATTTTTATTACCAGAATCGATTTGATAAGATTTACATCCTGTGTGATAGTATATTTTAACTGTGGTTTAAAAAATGTTTTTAAATGTGACAAATAGAAAAGCAAACTCAATATTATTCATAAAAAGATGAAAACAATTCGTTTCATCTTTAGTCGTGGTTTATTTTTATTACCGTAATCGATTTGATAAGATTTACATCCTGTGTGATAGTATATTTGAACTGTCGTTTACAAAATGTTTTTAAATGTGACAAATAGAAAAGCAAACTCAATATTATTCATAACAAGATGAAAACAATTCGATTCATCTTTAGTCGTGGTTTATTTTTATTACCGGAATCGATTTGATAAGATTTACATCCTGGATGATAGTATATTTTAACTGTGGTTTAAAAAATGTTTTTAAATGTGACAAATAGAAAAGCAAACTCAATATTATTCATAACAAGATGAAAACAATTTGGTTTATGTTTAGTCGTGGTTTATTTTTAGTACCGGAAATGATGTCATGAGATTTACATCCTTTGTGATAGTATATTTTAACTGTGGTTTAAAAAATGTTTTTAAATGTGGCAAATAGAAAAGCAAACTCAATATTATTCATAACAAGATGAAAACAATTCGATTCATCTTTAGTTGTGGTTTATTTTTATTACCAGAATCGATTTGATAAGATTTACATCCTGTGTGATAGTATATTTTAACTGTGGTTTAAAAAATGTTTTTAAATGTGGCAAATAGAAAAGCAAACTCAATATTATTCATAACAAGATGAAAACAATTCGATTCATCTTTA